GGGGGGGTGAAATGTATTTTCTAGAAAACGGGCGTTTTCAAGGATGGGCCATGTCTGAGGTTATTGTCTAGCAATGCATATGTAATTGATACAATAGTCGCTATTGTCTCACTCCACAAATTTCATCCCCTACCGAAGATTTCTCTGAGGATTAGAGTTGGGACTCGATATGTTGGGACCTATCGATATGTACACCCAAGACTCCACCTAAAGCTACATTTCTACATTCAAAGGGACGAACTGATAAATGAATAGAAATGACGATGACATCATGGATCAGGGCTGCTTATATCGCTACACGCATAGAATATTTTTTAATAAAAGCGATGATTCAAAAGTAGTTATATGTCTTATTTTGTTCGATGCGAAAACATTGCGCATTATTAATTTCTATTTTAGATCTCCTCAATGCTCTTTATTATTGCTGTTTCTTTGATGTCCCGATCGAGACTGCCCGGTTCAAACTATTACAAAGAATATCCTATCTGGAAAGGGTGAGTAAAAACTATGGCAAGCGCCCGCATACTTTTGCATTACCTACTATATTTACCTCTTTAGGATTGAGCCAGAAATACCGTCATATTCCTGGAACATATGTCTGGTGATGCATATTTTGGACAATTGTCACAGATCGAAAACACGGCCTATGAAGTTCAGCGGCTCTTCAAAATGTTTTCTGCTAATGGACTAGAAAGAAAAGACAAAGCGTATCTTGTGGTAGTTGGTTTTGCAGGATGCGCCACGAATTGAGGTTAGTCCAAAATTCTAGCAAACTCCTATTAAAATAGCCTAAAGACTCTTCGACAGGCCTAGATTTTGGTCCCCAGAACTTTTGAAGGGTAATAATCTGAGGTATTTCTATCCATATGATCGACATTAAAATTGAGTTTACATATCTAGCCTTTATTATTTTCGAATATCGATGATGATAGTGTCTTGTACGATAATGCGGTCAGAGATTCATGAAGAATTGGAACCCTACTGTACATAAGCGGGAGGGATTCGGGTGTGAGCCCGAGTTCAACACCCGAAAGCGTAGGGCTTCCGTAAGTCGGACGGCGGCAGGTGACAGAGACAAATGCTAACATATGTACTTGGCCCATGACCTACGTCGATGATTGATACACACACTGGAACAGAAAAAAGGATTTTCGACAACTAGGTTCTCATGCCCTTTTATTCAGTTATTCGGCGCTATCAATGGCATTATGGAGCTGTCCTCGTTGCTGATCCACGTCACGATTCTGTCCGAGCTGCCCAATGCTTGACCTGGATCCGAAATGAGCACAGAGAGGTAGAGTTCTGCTTTTCTTTTAATTTGAAGGGAACTGCTGCATTCCGCTGAGCACCATTCATTTGAAATGATTAAGATGGTGCATAAGTCTTCAATCTCTAGCATA